AATACATGTGTTCACCCTCAAGTTCTTCACCGCCTGCACTGCTGGCAGCACGGATCAGATCTAGTTACAGCTGAGAAGGAAGGTCCCAGGCAGGCGCAGTGATGATCGGGGTGACAATTCCTTTCTGTTCCCAGCTGTGGGGTGTCCTGGGCAGGGGTTTGATGGACAGCTTGTTGCAAGTCCCCTTGTCTGCACAGGCCCTTCTTGGCACATGCAGTGCACATCTCACAGTGGAGGCAATTAAAGTGCCACCAGGATGGCACATGAACAGGTCTTGGCTGCATCGCAAGGGCAGTTTGGGCCAAGTCTGTCTGCTGGTGTGGACACAGGGACAGGCAGAGGCACGTGAAGGACGGGGCAAGCCTGGAGGACGTGGGGGACTTTGCAGAACATGAAGCCTCCAGCTCCAAGCAGCCGGTGCCCGTGTCCAAACACGCAGCGCCTGCTGCAGTCAGCACATGGCCGAGACTTGCAAAGAAAATTTAGATCCAAAGACTAATGCTAATCAGTAAAATCTGTAATTGAAGAAATGGTAATCAAGTGAGATTACCAGCCTGATCCTATGATCGGCCCCCTGCCCAGCCGGTTAGGTCAGTGCTGCACACAGCGTTAATGAAGCCACCTCCCGCAGTGGCGGGGCCGGGGGGGTTGTACGCTGCCGGCTTCGTTGTAGCACCATGCCAGGAGCGTGTCGCAGAGCTGTCCTCCCTGGGAACCGAGGAAGCCGAGCAGTCCTTCATTAGCCAAAATTCACTCTCACTTGTATTTGTATCTTGCTTTGCAGATGGGAAATGCGTCCAACGCCTCAGTGTTCATCTCCACCTTATCGGAGAGAGAAGACCTGATTTTTGGCACGCTCTATTTAGTCTTTGGTAAGGAAAGACAGGCTGTTATACCTGCGACTGCTGCGGGCAGCCCAGGTGCCTGCCTGCCTGCCAGAGACATTCAGGCCTTTTGCAGTCACTGATACTTCCAGAAGTGTTCAGTCATTACCAGAATAATCAAACTGGCCCTTCCCATGTTAGCCCTCCCACGTTACTCAAAAGGATGATCTGGCCAAAGCTTGGTGACTGCACTCCCCTCTCAGGGGAGCTGCAAGTACCAGTTATGTTTTTAAATATTTGGAAAGTTGAAGAACAACCTTTGAGGAACGTGCTGTAACTCCTACTGCAGCCACCCGATGTGAGACGGACAGGGACTCTGTCAGCATTGCCAGCTTCATGACTATTGAAGGGGATTTGGACCTCCAGCTGGCCCTTGCTTTCCGCAGAAGATGCCGGTGAATGTCCTGCGATTTGGGGTCAGTGGCACTGAAAAGCCAGCAGGCACAACTTGAGGGGCTGGGACGTGCTCTGAGGTGGCCTAGACCTGGTTGGTGTGGGCCAGAAGTGAATGATGGGCAGAGAAAAGCCTTCGAATTTTCTGAGCCCTGAGCACGTTGTCTCCCAAACGCTAGAAGCTTTTCATGCCTGCGAGCATGGGGAACCCAAGGGATGCTTATGCCACTGGGACTGCCAGCAGTCCTATAGGCACCTACAGCTCCTAGGAGTTAGTAAAGCTAATCAAATGTACTTAGTACAGATGTGAGACTAGCTCTGTGGGAAAAACGCCTCGTGAGGCTGGGAACAAGGACAAACATCTCAGCACTCTACCCTCCAGCAACTCCAAAGCCTCCAAGCCCTGGATTTGGCCAGGTCTTGCGTGGGAATCCTGTTCCTGAGAGGAACTTTAGTGTTGGCCGTTCAGCGGCTTTGGAAGCTGGTTCTTACCATAATATTTAATTTACAGCCTAATCCATTAGGGAGAAACTCTCGTCCTACCCAACCTGCCCCACGAGCAGCAAAGATTCCCCTTCTGAGGACACTGAAACCTCTTTTCAATGAAAGCACAATTTCGTAATTAAAAAAAGAGAGGAAGCCCTTGTTATACAATTTTAATCACTACTGTTGTTTTAAATACACTAATAGCAAACAAAGAGCCATCTTTTGTTTAGTCTGGATTTTCCTTGATCTCCATAATGCCTTTCTTCTTGTTTATTTTGTTACCATGATATTGGACAACACAGACTCACAGGAGTGACATTGCCAGGAAGAAATTAAAAAGGCGAAGGGGCCCAGCTCCTTGGCCTCACATCAGAAGAGCAATCGCACAAAGCTCCCGTTATTTATCTAGCTGGAAGGAAGTACCTCCCTTGCTCCTTCCAGCTGGAAGAAGTGAGTCTGGCCAGATTCTGCACCCGGAGCCCACTGCAGTCTCATCCCACCACTGCCCTCCTACCAAATGCCTCTGTAGGATCTCAGGAAGGGGAAGGGATCAAATTCAATGTAAAGCAGCTCCAGATGTGCTCACAGAGCTCTGCAGGTCCTGCTCAACCCACTCCGGAGAGGGAAGCCTGGAGCCCTTTCCACCCTCTGTAGACATCTTGGTGTTTGCTTCCAAACATCTCAAGATGATCTTGGCTCCTTTCCCAGCTCTGTTACATACAGCACTGTTCCTCTGCCTTCTCCGCAGGCATCGTGTCCCTCTCTGGGAACTCGCTGCTTCTGCTGGTGGCCTATCGGAAGAGGTCCATGCTGAAGCCTGCCGAGTTCTTCATTGTCAACCTGGCCATCAGTGACCTGAGCATGACGGTGACGCTCTTCCCCTTGGCCACCTCATCCTTCTTTGCACACAGGTACCTTGTGGAAGCGGCTCTGCGCTGGCCAATGGCCCTGGGTGCAGTTTGCAAACCTTGTCTTGAAACGGGGATATCCCTGACAGGGGTCTGGAGGGACCCAAGGAGTCAGTCTGGTGGCACTGGGCCGCTGTGTAACCTCACAGACATCCACCCCGCAGCAGGGTGGCTTGCTGTTCCCTGTCCCTCCGGTTTATCAAACAGACTTGCTGTAAAAGGGGTTTGGTGGTGGGTTTCCGAGCTGGCACCCACATGTCACAGGCATTGCAGTGGTGTGCGCCGGCGTGGATCAGGGCAGCTCCCGCGGCTCCATCTGTGCCTGTCACTGGGATGCTCAGGGAACAAATTAGGGGCAAGATCATGCCCATGTTTCCTTGGGCAATCAGGTGCTGGTATCCGTGCAGCCCATTGCAGCCGCTCCATGCATGGACAGCTTTGTTTCTGGTGTGGGACCAGCAGCTGAGGCCTCACTGCCAGGAGAGCGGCTGGAAAATACCCAGCCTTCCTCCAGAGCAGGGACCACGGAGACAACTCCCGTCCAGCCGAGTGGCAGGGGCTGTCAGCCAGCCGCCCCGGGCAGAGGGGAAGGGCTGGGTTTACCCGCAGGCTTTCCCTTGCAGGTGGCTGTTCAACCAGGCGGTGTGCACCCTCTATGCCTTCTGCGGCGTCTTGTTTGGGCTGTGCAGCCTCACCAGCCTGACGGTGCTCAGCACTGTTTGCTGCCTGAAGGTCTGTTACCCAGCATATGGTAGGTGCTGGGATGCATTATCTGATCTATACTTACACCCCTCTCTGTTAACATAACCCTTTTACTTCCTTCTCTTATGGGCCAGATCCACCTCTTCTGGGAAAGCTTTGCCCCAGGGCTACCTATTCCCAGTGAACACACCGGCGCAGCAGACGCTGAAGGCTTTCATCACTTGTGTATTCACTCCCCTCCACCTGCATGGGGCTATGGAGCCCTGGCACCCTGTGCCCATGACCTGTGCATGCATCTCAGCCGTCCCTGCCTCCAGAGCCTGCTTCACTCTAGGGCTCAGGAGCATCATCCAGAAAAGTACCAAAGGGTTGTCCTCCCTCTGCAGGAAAGTCCCAGCTGCTGTATCGCAGCAGGTCACAGGGTTTCAAACATCCATACACAGACTTGAGCTTAGGCCAGAGCAGACTCTGCATCTGGGAAGCCACAAGCTCTGACAGTGCAAGGAAGAGCCGCTTTCCCTTGTCCCTGGTGGGAGAGCTATAGGCCAAATGTATTTAATAATTCACTGAAATAATTAATACAGGAGGGCTGGGTTTGCAGTGTTGTAGCTCACTTCTGTAGCCCTGTTTTCACCCGGACTTCCTCTGCAGTGCTAATGTGAACGTTTGCAGCTCTAAGCTTGGGCACCAGCTCTTTGTAGAGCGCATGCGCTGCAGAGAGCACCTGAGGAAGCGAGGGGACCCAGGGATGTCCCCTACACATTTGCAGCTCCTCCTGTTTGGAGTTGCTTCTTAATTTCCTCAGCTCAGCTGCTAATCCTCCATCTAGCATGTATCTTCAGAAAAGACTTTGGATTCAAGTCCAAAAAAAGAAATAAAATGGGAAATCAAAGATATTAGTTTGATTCGCAGACCAGCACCCCAGGATGCATCCTCATCCCCTCTCCCGTGGCTTGCTGCCCATCTGCCCCGAGCCTGTGGCTGGGGGGGGGGGGGGGGGGTTGCTCCCCTCCGCCAACGTGCTTTGTCCCCAGCAGCTGACGGTGCCTCAAGGACAATGCTGGAGCAGAGTCACCTTGGTTATGTGCCAGCACAACAGCTCAGGAGATCACTAAAAAGGTGGAAGGAAAGATAAAGATAGAAGTTGGCTGTTAAAAGGCAGCCCAGGTACCAATGGCTTTTCCCTGTGCAGGTTCTGCTCTCTAGATGAGCCAGTGCTTGGCACGTTGAGCTTTTCTCCCCATTACACCCCGGCCCATTTTCCGTGAGGAAGTGGCTAATCTCAATGTGCTTTTAATTGCTTAGTTTCAAAGAAAAATGTTACTCCTATGTATGGCTGAAGATTTAGCACTTTATACTGAGCTCTTAGAAGATCAGGGACTTTTAGATTTGGTGGGGGATGGGACAAAAAGAAAAAAACCCACCTCCCTCAGTGCTTCAGTCTGCCAGAGAGGAAAAGGTCCTTCAAATGACAGCGTCCGGGATGGCTTTGAGCAGTCCTGGAGCCAGCTCTCCCTGCCCTGTGTTCAGGCTGCTGCAGCCACGCAGCCTGCCTCCCTCCCCCCCCAGCTGCCCGTGGGGCCGTGGGTGCAGCCGTATCCCTGTGGGGCCACGGGTGCAGCATCCCCCCGCCATGCCACAGCAGCCACACGACCTCCCAGCAATTCCTCCCAAAGCCAAGAGAGAGTGCACTGCTGATCCTGCCACTTGCTGCCCAGATTGGGGCAAACCCTTACGTTTCTCTTGGCTCCTTGCTCTGGCCGCCCGCCCAAGGGGACAGGAGGATGCCCGTGTGTCCCGGGGCCCGGGGGTGAGCGCTGGTGCGGCTCTGCCCGCTCCATGGCTGCAGTGCTGCCATGCTGTGCACAGCAGCTCCTGCTCTGCCCAGGCGGCCCCGGCCGTCTCCCAGGGCAGCTGGCCTCATCCCCAGCGCTGGAGGTGTGGGCAGCTCAGGGTCACAGCCCCTCTTTCCGCTCCCCCTTGCCCGTGGGAAACCATCCTCACCCCGATCCCTCTGCTGCAGGCAACAAGTTCTCGCCCTGCCATGCCGGAGTGCTCCTGCTGTGCGTCTGGGCATACGCCCTGATGTTTGCCACGGCCCCCTTGGCTGAGTGGGGCAGCTACGGCCCCGAGCCCTACGGGACAGCCTGCTGCATCATGTGGAAAGCCTCAAGCAGGGAGGCCACGCTCTACATCCTCGCCCTCTTCATCTTCTGCTACCTTCTCCCCTGCCTCCTCATCCTCGTCTCCTACTCGCTGATCCTCTGGACGGTGCGGGTGTCCCGGAGAGCCGTCAGGCAGCACACGTCCCCCCAGCGCAGAGCCCGCAGCGTGCACAGCCTGGTCGTGAAGGTAGGGGAGGGCTCGGGGCAATGCGGGGTCTCAGGGTGCCCCCTGCCCCAGCCCACCGCCCCATGGGCAGGCAAACGTGGCAGAACCCCTTCTGCCAGCCAGCGGTGTCTGCTGCTGATGATGAATTCTCCAGGTGTTTGTATCAGTGTGGGTAATAACACATTTCTCCTCGTTTAAAGCCATCAGGTGGAGGAGTTTTCATTTTAAATTACATTGGAAAAGATCATAAAAGGAGCATGCATGAGTCATTGTTCCCCAGACTACAAGCTAATACTCTAATTTACCAAGGATATGTAAAAAAAAAAAGTGGATACCCTTTAAAAAAAAAAACAAACATGAAAGAAAACAGCTTGCAAGCCTGGCCTTGAAGGAAGCGTTCGTGTCTGCTTAGAGGAACGGGGGTCTGAGCATGGCCTGTTTCCAGAGCCTCTCGGTCAGTCTGCACCCCGGCACACAGATTGCCGGAGGGATTTTGAGCGCTGCCAAAAGGCTGTTGGAGTCTGATGCTGGCCTGGTCCCAGCCGGGTCATTGTGTGCTTCGTGCCTGTCTGCCGCGGCGGGCTGAGGCAGTTCCCGAGTTTCCCAGGTGAGACGGGTGTGAGTCACCCGAAGCGAGTGCAGGTTTATACACCCGTGCTGGGACGTGCTGAGTTGCTGCCCTGATGTCTGACACCCCAATGCTGCAGTGGGGTGGGTCCAGAAGGCTGAGCACCTTTCCCTGGGGATGTGACCGACTGCTCGGGGTCCCGTTGCACACGGCTGAGTTTTGTGGGGGCGGGTCAGCATCCCACATGTGCCGCAGGAGGCTCATGGCACCGCCATCTCCATCTCCTTCTCTTCCAGCTGAGCATTGCCGTGTGCCTGGGGTTTCTGGCTGCCTGGACCCCTTACGCCGTCATTGCCCTGTGCGCAGTCTTTGGTGACGCCAGCCAGGTGCCGGCACTGGCCTTTGTGCTGTCAGCCGTCTTTGCCAAGTCCTCGACGCTCTACAACCCCCTGGTGTACCTGCTCTTCAAACCCAACTTCCAGAAGTTCCTCTCCAAGGACGTGGTGCTCCTCCAGGCCATCCGCACCCTCCTCTGCTGCAGCTGCCCGAGCGCTGCGCTCCAGCCCTTCCCATCCTCGGGCATCGGTGACCACCCTGGGGCTTGCAGAAACTGCAATGACACTTTTGAGTGTTTCAGTAACTACCCCAAGTGCTACAAACTCCCCCAGGCACCTGGCAGCTCGCCCCGATGCGCTCCCCTGGCTATCCTGGCCGATGGAGCTGCTTGCCAGCCGGGGCTGAAGAGGACGGTGCAGGTGATGGTGCTTGTCACACGAAAAAGGTCGGGCCTGGGCGCTGCGAATGTGGTGGGGGAAGCCCTGCCATCGGATATCATGAAAGACCTTCTCTGAGCCCAGCCGTGCCCGGCTGTGTCCTACCAGCGCACTGGAAGACAAACCCAAACGCAACATTTCTCTCATCTACGTATCCGATGGGTCCCCAGCATGTTCTGCAGATGAAGTGACATGAAAATTTAAGACCAACCTTGCCTCCCCCTCTGGTTTGGCACTTGCAACTCTGAGCCTAGTCTTTGTACTTGCAAAAAAAAAAAAAAAAAAAATAGACCCCAGTGCCTGAAATCTGCCCTGGGCGCAAGTCCAGGGCGCAGTTTCTCCTGCGGCTTGCTCTCAGGGCCCTTGGCCTTTTTTTTCCACCCTGGTGCTCTGATGACCAAGTAGGAACTTGGTTGTCTTAAGAAACTGTGCCTGGCAGGGAGGGCCAGGGGCCAGGAGGCCCCGAGAAGCATCCTGGCTCCCGCGCCACCTCCTGCAGCCCCCACTGACCATGTCCTTTCCCGTCGGGGAGCGGGACCACGCCGCTCAGCTACCTCACTTGGGATTATGAAGCATCTTTATATACCTCTCAAGAGACTACTCTCTGTGCAGGCTGGGTTACCCCACTCCCTCGATTTGAACGCAAACCCACCACCGTCCTATAGATCGAAATGGGAGCTTGTCTTTAGAGTAAGGATTTGGGGTTAAAATAATCCCGGTGTGAGTAATAGCAGTCCCAGGTCACGCTCTCCAGGCAGGGAATGGCGAATCTGTGGCTGAGCACCATCCTGGAGACAGGGCTGTGGCCGTAGGGTGTCTCCCGGCGGCTGGGATGATGGAGCAGCTCATGGCATCTGCGCTGCTGCGCAGGGGAGCAGCTGCCTGGGCGACAGCATCCCACAGGCTTGTCGTCGGCATTTGGAGATCAGTGCGGGCAGCTCACCCACGGGAAGAGTCTGGGACGAAAAGGACCGAGAAGCTGTGAAAGGGCCCGATGCAAAGCCACAATAGAAAAGTCCCCAGGTTATCCGCTGTGGCAGACGCAGGGCAGGCAGGCAGCTGTCTCTCTCCAGTAGCATGCTGGCAGCCCCGCGCTGCAGCTCACCTGGGGCTGAGCTCGGAGGCTCCCCATCCCACCCCCCGGCACCGAGCTGCTCGTGTGCCCAGCCTTGGGCACGGCGGGAGCTGGTTTTGCTTTGCAGGGTGTGAGTAACACGGCCAGGGTGCTGAGAGAGGTTGGTTATGCCCCAAAAAATTCAAAGATGCATTCAAGGGGATGAGAAAAGTCAGTAGCAGAAGTGGGAAACGTGCTGCCCTCAGGCACCCAGCCAGCCAGCTACTCGTGGGAGCGCTTTACGTTGTCACTGGTTAATGAACAAAACCGCGCCACAACCCATCGCCAGAGCTGCGGCATTAAATCATGGACGTGCTAAATGGGAACCGTGAACTGTTTTCTGTACTGAGCGCTGGGAAGCAGCCGCTGCCCCCGATGCTGTCGCTGGCTGTGCTCTGCCCGCCAGCCCTGCCTGCCAGCTCTGCGGGCCAGCCGCCCTGCCTGTAAGCTGACCCCGAGCTCTCCTTCTTCCCTCTGCTCCCCAGATACAGATATTGCTATTTTTAGCAGTCCCTCCCAGAACCGGGATGTATCACTGCCTTTTCTTAGCAGCAGCCTCTCTTCCGAGGACACGGAGTGCTTCACAAAAGACCCGCTAGCTGCAGGGGTGCGCAGAAATACAGGGGAGCGGGTGTGCTCCCCGGGGGAGCAGACGGCAAGTGCCCACCACCGGTCATTTAAGCAACCCAGGCATTAAAAACAGGAGCTGGGCTTTTTGGCCTCGATGTTATGGCCCAGTTCCACTGTAGCTGGCAAAAGGGGCCAGTGCGAGCTCTGCGGCGGGGAAAGCGGTTGCTGCGTGCGTGCAGAGGCACCCAGCGAAGCAGCGAAGGGTGCTGGGGCGTGGGTGGCCCTGCCCCTGCTTTCTGTGTGTGCCATCATTACCGGCTGCTGCTGCACAGCTCTGATTAGCGCACGACAGCATGGCAGTCATGGCACTTGCTTTTGTCCCTTGGTCATTTCCACTTAGCCACTTTAATTAGCAGTTTCCCCGTGACAGGAGAGGGTCACCGATACCTCTGGGGTGCACTTGCATGCTCCCGGGATGGTTTTGCCCACGTGTGATACCTGCAGTGCAGACGGTTGGGGCAGGGCAGGGTTTATGCACAAGAGCCAAGTAATAACTGAAAAGCCACACAGGGAGCGACACTCCTGCCTTCGCTTCCTACTCCTGCTATGCAAAAAACCCCCACCCAACCCAAAGATGTGCAATATTTGCAAAACGCTGCAAACAAACAAAGAAAAATCAGGGCAGCCAGTGAAGAAAGAGGACAAAGTTTCCAGCGTGGGTGCAGGTTTCTAGGAGGGCCAGTCACCGCCCGGCCCAGGGCACAGTTGCTTGGCCCCTTCCCACCCCACAGCTCGGGGCACTGCTCCCCGTGCCCCGTCCCAGGCACTCCGGCACACGAGGGAATCACAAGCACTTGGTGTCTCTGCTGACTAGTCATCGTGTTCCAGAAATTGTACATTTTTGAAGTAAATTCACTCATGCAAAACTGGCATTCGACTTGGTTCAGTTATGTGTTAGCGGCCGTGTTCCGGGATAAATGAAAATATCGCTGCTGTGCCTGCCGCTGCACGTGGCCGGGGCAGGAGAGTGTGGGCAGGTTTTGGTCCTGTGGGTGAGCGATTGCAGAGGCAGGGCACGGCCCGTTGGCCGGGGCACAGGGACTTGGGGCAAGCAAAGCTCTCCCTCCTCAGCAGCCGAGCCTTCCTCCCGCCGGGGTGAAGCAGTGATGGTGCAGCCGGCGGGGATGTGGCCCTGCTGCACCGCTCCGTGCTGGGGCACCCGTGCCCGTGGGCTGGGCTGCACCACTTGAGCTGCCACCTCGGCCAAGCCCCAGCTGTACCCGCAGCCCATCGCTGCCCCGGGAGGAGAGGAGCCTCCGGAAAGGTGCAAGGGGCTGATTTCCCACCAGAGGACATGAACACGAAGGGCTGCTGCCATCTCCTGGGGGCTCTCGGGGCATGGCCACCCTGGGACAGGTTGGGGGGCCGAGGACATGACCCTGGCCGGGCCGGTGCTTTGGGCTGTGATGGGCTTAGGGACATGGCACGGTCCAGCCACTGGTGCAGGTGGGTCCCTGCTTTGCTTACCAACCGCCCGGCCTGCTGCTTTGTCCCCCGCTAGCTAAAAAATACTGTGGTCCAGAAATCATCTGAAGGAGGTAGGAAGAAAAAATCTGCAAATCCCCCAGGTCCTTCATTACCCCAGGAAAACCCCAGATCAGCATCTGCATCTTTAGTTTGGCGTGAGAATGCGTTATATCGAGAACACCTAATACTGACTGTACTTCAATCTACATTCAGATGAGACACTCCTGCTGCTGGGGAGCCCAGGCAGCGGCACTGCAGCCACTTAGCAAAATCCAGATCAATTTAATTAACTCTGTGCACTGTGGCCAGGCCAAACAGCAGGTCCAGGGTCCCTCCCCGGCAGGACCCAGGACTGCCATGACCCAGGTACTCCTACCTGCCAGGCTGGACCCAGCCCCCGGGGAATGGCAGGGCTGGTGCTGCTTTAATCAGTGTCCCCAGCTGGGAATAGTGCCATCAGCTGCCACCAATTACCTGAGGATAAGAGCCCACACACACCCCCACACCCACACACACAAGGGCAGCTGCTGTGGTGGCTGCTGGTGGGGTGAGCCCAGGGCTTTGAGGAGGATGGTGGCTTTGCCCCTTGGGGCCGAGGTAAGGTCTGCGCCAGCCGCTGCGGTCGGGCAGGGTTTGGGAGGTGGTTGCTGTTTGTGAGAACCGATTTTTTTAGCTTTTGGTGCTGCTGCAGCCTGGTCCCTGGTTCTGGGCCAGGTGGGAAGGGGGTTTGGGGGCTGCTCAGTGGGAGCCTGGCCCTGGTGTAGGGGACAAGCCAGGGCTGCCTTGGTTTGGGTTTGGTGCCTAGGCAGACAGACGTGCTATGGTTGCTGGGTTTCCCACCCAGTGCTGGCCAAGTGAGAGCACTTGCGCCTTTTCTCGTTTCAAATAGCCGTTATATTCCAAGTTCAATCAACCTCTTGAGGTTGAAGATGCTGAGGCAAGTGCAGACACGTATGCTTCGTTGATCTATACATAAGCAATATATAGTTAACGAAAGCCCAGCGTGAGCCAGAAAACCTGCAGTGAGAAATCTTTCTCAAGGCGAGAGATTCCTTCCCAAAGGCAAGCTGGCAGAGGCCAGTTACAACCATATGGCAGTTTCAAAGGTAGTTGGCCCATTGTGGGATTATTTTCTGCCCAAATCTCCCATGATTTCACATCCCTCAGTGTCATAAAATCACTTTGGTACTAACCTGATTGTATAGGGCAATAACCCCTGGGATTTCTGTGTTCCCCCACTGACAGTACCGTAGGGCTCTGGGATATGCAGTTTGCTCAGTGTGACTGTTAATAACCTGCAAAGCAGCAGCACTTATCACAGAATCATAGAACAGTTTGGGTTGGAAGGGACCTCTAAAGGTCATCTAGTCCAACCCCCCTGCCGTGGGCAGGGACATCTTCAACTAGATCAGGTTGCTCAGGGCCCCGTCCAACCTGACCTGGAATGTTTCCAGGGATGGGGCA